GTGGTGACCTGTGATAGTGACAACTGCTCCTGCAGGAGCCAAAGGGCAGGTCTCTGGCTTCTTGGGGTTGGGCTCTCACAACACAGGGCCACAGCCAAAATATACATGCAGGAGCAAGGCAGCTGCGCTGTGGACCCAGTGCTGGAGAAGGGGGAACCTGTTTAGCAAACAGCAGCTGAGGCAGACCGTTGTTCTTCCTTCTGCAGTCTGCCTCCTCCTCTGTATTGTGGCTGCCGTATCTATCTTTGGGTTGTGTGAAAATGCTGGGCCTGCCTGCTCCTTCCCTGGTGGGGCAGTAGCAGCTGGCACCTGACTGCTCAGGGACCAAAGCCTGTGGGATTCCACGTAGACTCCAGCAGTGGCTCTACACAGTCTCCAGGCAGCTCTGTGTATTAGACTGGAGGCCTGAGGGGCCAAGAGGGCTCGGCTCCCTGCGGCTAGGATTGTAAAAGTTCACAGTGGAAATGTGGAGCCCCAGGGGTCTCTCACTCACTCACCCCTTCCCCACATTAGGGAGCTTCTTCCAGCTCCACACTTGACCTGGTTCAGCTGGCTGCCCGGCTTTGCTCTCCTCTGCTTTCCATGACTCCATTGCTTCTCTGATGAATTCCAGCCTGCCCTCTTAGATGATATAATTGAATTGTTCATTTTTACTTGCTACTTTGATTACTCTCTATGAGAGAGGCGTCCACTAGCTGCTTCTAATCAGCCAGCTTGAACCGCAACCTCAGTGTTACTGTTTTGTATCACTATTTCTGTGTTTTTATTTCATTTTAGATACTTTTCCTCCACAAAGTTATATTACAAGAATCCTTGAGATTGGAAGCTAGTCCTGCTTATCCCCCTGTTGGCAGTGGCTCTGAGTTCTGTCTCATATACATTAAATTTGTGGAGGCTTACTGAATCAGAAGATATATTCAGGTGTGTGCACATATGGGTATGTGTGTAAATCAGAAAGCATGTGTGACACTTTTTAAAAATGATTCTGAGAGCCCTTCTCTACCCTATTTGTAAACTTTTCCAGAAGAGGTTACTATATACCTGCATATATCATATATCTTCCATCAATAACTTTTTGTTGTTTTTTTGAGACAGTCTTGCTCTGTTGCCCAGGCTGGGTGCGATGTCGGCCCACTGCAGCCTTTGCCCCGTGGGTTCAAGCGATTCTCCTGCCCCAGCCTTCCAAGTAGGTGGGATTACAGGTACCCACCACCACACTTAGCTAATTTTTTATGTTTAGTGGAGACAGGGTTTCGCTATGTTGGCCAGGCTAGTCTCGGACTCCTGAACTCAAGTGATCCACCCAGCTCAGCCTCCCAAAGTGCTGGGATTACAGGTGGGAGCCACCATAAGTCTTCACTGGTAAGCAAAACTTCCATAGACTATCCAGCCTTCTTCATGCTATAGCTTTATGATGTAAAATATTTATACCCTTTCATGTATAACAGATTTTCTCACTTCCAACATTTTGGGTTGGGTAATTCTTTGTTGTGGGGCTATCTGATGCACAGCAGCATGTTCAGCAGGATCCCTGGCCTCTCCCCATTAAATGCTCCCAGCACCCCTTACCTCAGTTATTATGATATGCAGAAATCTCTCTAGACATTGCCAGAAGTCTGAGGGGCAGAACTGGGTTGAGAACCACTGATGTGTGGGGATAATATTAAGAAACATAGAAATAGTTTATTACAACAGATTCCTAAATCAATAAGTAGGTTAGCTGAGATAAAGTTATAAAAAAAAGAATTTATTTGTGAAGTTAAATTGAATTTAATATCATAGTTGTAGTGTATATGACCAAGTGTGAGACTTGATTCTTTCTTCAGCAGCTCTGATGATACCCGCATCATCTTTTCTGTCTCCGTGTCCTAGTTCAGGCCTTTATTCCTTCCTGGACTCCTGAAAAAGCTGTGTCACCTTGAGCAAATTACTTAATCTCAGGGTCTTAGTTTCTTCATCTATTAAGAAAAAGGGTGTTAGTAATAGTACCTCTATCTCAAAGGGTTTTTGTGGAGATTGCGCTAGATAATATGTAAAAAGCACTTAGAGGATTGCCTGTGGTTATGTAGCCTATCATTAGCAGTTGCAACATTATCATCATTCCTAGCAATACCTTTCCTCTTAAAATAATTTTATAGTTAAACCAGAGTAATCTTTGTAATGGAGCTCACCTGAGTTTCCTTCCTCCTTAAAAAAATTCCCTCCTTAAAAACCTTCAAAGACTGTCCAGTGCTTATAAGTAAATGTTTGCACAGCATTCAATCACATTTTGGTCTCAGCCCACCCTCCAGCTTTGTACCCCTTTCTGTTTTGCTTGCAAATAAAATAGTTCTTGTCTTGAAGAAGTCATCTTATCTCTGTGTCTCCAGAACACTTAACAAGTACTAGATGCCTATATTCATTTAATTGTGCCTATGTGTCACAATCATTCTCTCAATCATTATCTGGCTACTATTTAGAAAGTATTTAATTTGTCTCCTTTAGTCAGAAAGCCCACAGAACTTACCACACTGTATAACAGCAAAAACACAACAGTGGAGATAAATTAGATTTAAATTTCCCCTCGGTAACCAGATATTTTATTTCCTTTGAGAACTGTTATACCTGACCTACTGCTTTCTGGATTTAAAAGACATATTGTTTAAATAACGTATTAATTAAAAACATTTTGGTAAGATTTTTTCCTTCCCAGTCTGCTGGTTTATTTTGGTCTTAATTTTAATGTTCCTTTTTTTTCCCCTAAACATGAATTTCTTTTACTTGAAGAAATTGGAATTTAGGATGGCGGCAGATCACATTATATTCAAGTAGAAGAGGAATATGTTTTATACATTATGTCAGTTCTCTTGTGAAGTGTTTATATAATTTAATTCGTCTATACTACTTTCTACTTTGTATAGTGGTTTTACTTAAATTCTTTGAAATGTGCCTGTTCCTGTGGTTGAAGGTGTTTGTCATCCTTTGTTTAGCAAATAAAAGTAAGACACAGAAATTGAGAGTCTAAAATTACACAGGAAATGTAATCTGGGAACTGTGCTGTAAGGCGCTGCTACCCATTTGTGTGGTGATGTGTTTAGTATTACCATGTTACTTTACAGCATGCTGTTATGCTTGCTACCATTTATGATTTTGTGTGGCACACACTGGTAGATCATTATATTTTATACTTCATTATTGTTGTGGGACAACATACGACTCATTATGTTTTCATTTTGAGAAGAAGGCTTATCAGTTTTTATAGTTAGATGCTGTAAATTAAGTAGTTTTATATGACTTAGTACCTCAGAATACTAAGGATTGCGTAAATGCAAATAATCACTGTAACAAGTAACACTGATAATAACTAAGCTTTTGTGCATTCCATGCCTTATGCCGAAACATAGATGATCTAATATCCTCACCAGACCACTGAATAAATGCTATTATTTATTATTATTTGAGATGGAGTCTTGCACTGTCACCCAGCCTGCAGTAGTGGTGCGATCTTGGCTTACTGCAGCCTCTGTCTCCTGGGTTTAAGCAATTCTCGTGCCTCAGCCTCCTAAGTAGCTGGGACTACAGGCGCCCACCACCACACCTGGCTAATTTTTGTATTTTTAGTAGAGATGGGGTTTCACCATGTTGGGCAGGCTGGTCTCAAACCCCCAACCTCAAGTGATCCACCCATCTTGGCCTCCCAAAGTGTTGGGATTATAGGCATGAGCCACCATGCCCAGCCTTAAATACTATTATTATCCCTGTTTTCGTGTGAGAAGATTGAGGCTTATAAAATTTAAGGGATGTCACCCAAAGTCACATGATCGTTCTCTGTGGCTCCAGTAAACAGAAGCTATAGAAATTAAAATTTTAATAATTACAGTAGTCTGAAAGCAAAACTTTATAGTGAGTACTTTTGGGGGTATTTTTTCTTTGGTGGTGTTTGTTTATATGTGCCTTTTTTTTTTTCCTGCCCTGTATTTGAACATAAAAATGTTCAGGGACTCTGCATTATGTGTGTTAATGTGAGCTTCTGTCTCCACAATAGCAGTCAAAAGGGGGCAGATATTCTTCTTCCAGTCCTTTGGCAGTTTGTATTAGCACAAAGTATTCTCAACAGAATTCATTTGCTTGCTCCATGTTCAATTTCCCAGGCCAGAGCATCGTTTGCTGAGTATTAATCAAGCCACATCGAGGTCACCTTTCAATAAATTGTTTCTATGAGAATTGACTGGGATATAGATTAGGATTTTTTTTTTCTTATGGCTTCTTTCTCTTTGCTTCTCTGGCTTGAACTCTTACACTAGCCCTCTAATTTCCTTATACTTCCCCTCCTATTTTCTGTCTTTTTTTTGCTGAAAACTTTGGGACTGTTTTTTTTCTATTTTATATTCCAGTTTAATTTTGATCCTTATTTCCTGCATGTTTCTTTCTTTTTAAAATAATGTTATGCTAAAAAATAATAATGTTATGCTATTGGAAGGCATACCTTAATTGGTTATTTCTCAGACAATATTAATGACAGTTTAAAATTTTTTTTGTTCCCTACTGGTTTTCTTGTTCTTGCATTCTCTGTTTCTTCCACGTTGGTTTTTGTTTTTGTGGGGTTTTTTTTTTTTTTTTTCTTTGTTCTGATCTCTATTTTTTATTTTGTTGCTTCCTTCAAATATCTGGTGATCATTGCTTATATGTTAATATGTTAAAGTATAGCATCAAATTGCAAACTGTGTTACAGCAAGATTTGTGGACTGTGGTCTCCTTTTAGAAGTATATGGCTAGGTTACTATAAGAGTACCTGACAAGTAATAAGTATTTATTCAGTAAACTAATGTATCGTTGATAATAATGAATCTCTTTTACTGTTTTCCAAAGTGACTGTATGCAGAGTGGAGTTGAATGTTTACCAGAGGACTTGCTTATGTTTTGGGATAAATTATATTTTATCTAATTATACATATGTTTTATTTTGTCAATTTTGATCAGAATTAATTTTGTTATCCTCACTTAATTATTCTTTGGCCTAGTTTTCAGATAACTATTATCGTGCAGAAATGATTGATGCCCTGGCCAACTCTGTTACGCCTGCAGTCAGTGTGAATAATGAAGTTAGGACTTTGGATAACTTAAATCCTGATGTGCGACTCATTCTTGAAGAAATCACCAGATTTTTGAATATGGAGAAACTCCTTCCAAGCTATAGACATACCATCACTGTCAGGTAATGATTAAATTCTTTACTTTAAAGTTATTTGTTCTTATAACTATAAAAATGTCCTAAATTTTTTCTCTCTCTAACTACATAATTTTTTAATTACTTGAGATTATATTGTATATGTAGTTTTTGTATTCTGTTTATATTATAAATACTTTCTCATGTCATAAATTCTTCATAAGCATTGCTTTGATGTCTGCATATTCTTTTATTGGATATTGTATAAACATTCTCTATCTCTATTGTTAGCCTTTTCTTAAGAGGACTTTTCACTTTTTTTTTTTTGAGACAGAGTCTCTGTCACCAGGCTGGAGTGCAGTGGCGCGATCTTGGCATGCTGCAACCTCCGCCTCCCAGGTTCAAACAATTCTCCAGCCTCAGCCTCCCAAGTAGCTGGGATTATAGGCGTGTGCCACCATGCATGACTAATTTTTTGTATTTTAGTAGAGTTGGGGTTTTCACCTCATTGGCCAGCTGTTCTCAACCTCCTGACCTCATGACCCAACTGCCTCAGCCTCCCAAAATGCTGGGATTACAAGTGTAAGCCACCACGCCTGGCCTGACTTTTCACTTTTACCAGCTTTATATGGCTATCAAGAAGTTCTCCCTGTTTAAGAGTTTGCTAAAAGTTGATTCAAACATGAACAGTTTTAACTTTCTAAATAGTGAATAAACTATGTTACTAAAACATTTGGAGAAAATATTTATATTTTATGCTAAATGTTTTTTTTAAAAAAACTATTCTTGTTACAAGTATAACACTTAAAACTTTTGAGTTTTGGAATTTGTTTTCTTTCTTTTTTTTTTGAGACAGAGTTTCACTCTTGTTTCCCAGGCTGGAGTGCAGTGGTATGATCTCAGCTCACTGTACCCTCCGCCTCCTGGGTTCAAGCGATTTTCCTGCCTCAGCCTCCCAAGTAGCTCGGATTATAGGCATGTGTCACCACGCATTGCTAATTTTTGTATTTTTAGTAGAGATGAGGTTTTACCATGTTAGTCTGGCCGGTCTCGAACTCCTTACCTCAGGTGATTCACCCACCTTGGCCTCCCAAAGTGCTGGGATTACAGGTGTGAGCCATGATGCCCGGCCAGAATTTGTTTTCTTTTAACAGAATTTAGATGTTATTTTTATCATCATTGCAAAATATTATAGTTATATGTCACTTAACAGGGATATGTTCTGAGAAATGAGTTGTTAGGCAATTTTATTGTTTATGCAAATACTTTAGAGTGTATTTATACAAACCAGATGGTGTAGCCTCCTATACATCCAGGCTTTATGGTATAGCATATTGCTCTATTGCTCTTAGGCTATAAAGCTGTACAGTGTGTTACTATACTGAATACTGTAGGTAATTGATAACACAATGGTAAGTACTTGGATATTTAAACACATTCAAACATGTGAAAGGTATGGTAAAAATATAGCATAAAAGATAATAAATGGTAGCCCTGTATAGGATACTTACCATAACGTAAATGGAGCTTACAGGCCTGGAAGGTGCTGTGGGTTTATCAGTGAATGTGTAGTGAATGAATGTGAAGGTGTAGGACATTATTACCATCCACTACAGCAGATATAATAAATACTGTGGACTTAGACTACACTAAATATATTAAAAATATTTTTTCTTCAGCGATAAATTAATCTTAGTTTACTAGATGACCACCATTATATATGCAGTTCATCATTGACTGAGATGTCTTTTATGTGGCACGAGACTCTTACAGAATTAAAGGTGGATTAAAATCACCTCAGTTTTTAAATTTATTACCGTAAAGGGATCTCTAATGCCTAGGAAACAAATTTAATTCATAATACTTCAGTGAAAGTAGTTAACATACGTATTTATTTTTTTCCCTAGTTGTTTGAGAGCAATACGGGTACTTCAGAAGAATGGACACGTGCCAAGTGATCCAGCTCTTTTTAAATCTTATGCTGAATATGGCCACTTTGTGGACATTAGGATAGCAGCTTTGGAAGCAGTTGTTGATTATACTAAAGGTAATACTTTAGAAGTACATGCTCATATCATTTTATAAAGAAATATTTACTTTTTAAAGCCTGTCTTAATTATTGGGGCTTTCATTATATGTACAATACAGATATTTTCATTTTGAATTCTTGACTCACTGATTTAGAAATCATCTTTGATAAATGTAGAATTCACATAAGAGTTAATAAATGAGGGAAAGGAATAAAATTATAGGTATCTTTGGCCTTTCCAGGAAGTCAGTGTTCATCCTGTAGCTTTAATTGGATGTTATTTTAGGAAATAGAAGATTTTTGGAAAATGTCTAAGAAGGATTCAAGAAAATATCTCACACCTGTGTAAAAATTTGTGTCTGTGAAAGTAGAGGACTAGACATGAACATAAACTTCAGTAAGGGAATTAGGCATGAATTTGGAAAAACATAAAGCCAAAGTATTGCTAAGAGAAGAATACACATATATTTTTTTAATTTAGAGGAGAAAGATAGAAGAGATGGAAATGTGAAAAAGTCATGAAGAATAGAGCAGGTAGAGGTCAAGTAGAGGACAAGTAATCCAAGAAATAACAGAATACCCTGGGAGGGTGTAGATGCAGCAGACCTACAGTCATTTCTGATGAAATTTTAATTTTTAAGGCTAAAGGAAAATGTGTGTTTCTAGTACTATCAGAACCAGATTATTGTACAAGGTAAAATAATACTGTGGCCTCTGAATTCTTTAGAATATGAGGCATGAAAAGACAGTGAACATATGGCTATGTAATTTTTAGGGAAAATTATGACCCAAGTTTTTCTACCTTGCCAAAGTTCTTGCTCATGTAGCCTTAGAGAATTAGAGCAGCATCTCTTATGTAACATTCTTAAAAACATAACTCCCAAAAATAATTTTCAGCTGAACTGGATGTGAGTCAAAATAAAAACTCAAAATTGGTGGAAATGTGAAATGAAAGAACTGGTGCTGAATAACTATGCCTGACAAATACGTAAGCTTACATATTTGTTAAACTTGCTGTAAAATTTAATGCATATCTCAAAAATAATTTTTAAAAAATAATATGCAAGAAGGAACATGTAAATACAATCTAAGTCTAAAATTCCAGATTCTAGCACTAAAATATGAGAGGAGAAAAGAACTTAAAGTATGCTAAACTTTTTTCTGACTGCAGAAGGAGAGGAAGGGGTGAGAGAAGTTCTTCAGTAGATAACTGGTTCAGTTTCAAGTTGGGGAAACTCTACTCACGTCTTCATAATTTTTGGTAAATTTCTGTAGAAAAATTTGTTTACAGTCAGAAAATAAAGAAAGTGTATGTTCTTTTTTTTTTTTTTTTTGAGACGGAGTCTCACTGTCACCCAGGAGGTTAAGCTGGAATGTAGTGGTGTGATCTTGGCTCACTGCAACCTCCCCAACCTGGGTTCAAGTGATTCACCTGCCTCAGCCTCCCGAGTACCCAGGTGCACCACACACGGTTATTTTTTATATTTTTAGTGGAGATGAGGTTTCACCATGTTGGCCAGGATGGTCTCAATCTCTTGACCTCATGGTCAGCCCGTCTTGGCCTTCCAAAGTGCTGGGATTACAGGTGTGAGCCACTGTGCCCAGCCTATAATGTGTATATTCTTAGATGATGACCTGACTTCGGAAAGGACTGTCAGTTGTGCTTCCTTTTTATTGAAGGTTAAAATATTCTTTCCTGTTAGAAATAATTATGAAAACAGTGATTTCGTTATTAAGTGAATTTTTTGGCATGAAAAAGAAATGTAATCCTCTACCCATCTCCATTTCTGTTTTGGCAAGTTTTAAAATCCACCAAATATGCCACTGTTGCCGGTCTTCTTTCCCCAGATGTTTGAGTGGTGTTTAATGTCTCATAAATATAAGTTAGATATTAGACTACCTGAAATGAAATGTCTCATAAATATAAGTTATAAATTAGACTACCTGAAATGATATAGAATACTAGTAGGATTTCCAAAAGGATGCTAAACTTTAATAGATAACATTTAATTGGGAAACATGAATCCATACTTCATTTTTGTTCATGTCTAAATATAAACTACGACTTCAGACTTCATGTTTTGTTAAATTGTAAATTTAAATATTGATGCTCAAGTTAGAAAACGGAAGTGAAAAGTATTGTGAGTAAAATTCTAAAGACAAAGTTTTTCAAATTATGAAAGCAAAACTTGTTTGAAAAGGTGAATGAAAATAGCTAGTCATTTTATGTCAACTATATTCATAGCACTGTTTTTATAACTGCCTTTTATATTATGCTTGAAAAGTTAAGAACTTTCTTTAGTCTTAAATGGAAGAAACCACTTGGGCAAAATATATGATATAGACGAGATAGCATTGTGTGTCAAATCTCTCTGTCATTTAAGCATCTAGAAAAACAATTGTATTTGAATAGATTTTGTCCAGTTAATCATCTCTAATTTACGGTTCTTAATTACAATTTGCTTTATGTTATGTTTGTCATTGGTTTGAGCTTCAGTAAAAAATATGTTCTTGATGGAACTTTATGTCTTGATGCTAGTATATAGCTTGATACTTAAAAAAGTTACAAAGTGGCCCATTGCATAAAAATACAAGAGTTTGCCTGTAACCTTCAACTCTCATTGAAAATTAAGCTGGCCGGGCGTGGTGGCTCACACCTGTAATCCCAGCACTTTGGGAGGCCAAGGCGGGCAGATCACAAGGTCAAGAGATCGATTCCATCCTGGCCAACAGGGTGAAACCCTGTCTCTACTAAAATACAAAAATTAGCTGGATGTGGTGGTGTGCACCTGTAGTCCCAGCTACTTCGGGAGGCTGAGGCAGGAGAATTGCTTGAACCCAGGAGGCGGAGGTTGCAGTGAGCCAAGATAGCGCCACTGCACTCCAGCCTGGCGCCTGGTGACAAAGAGAGACTGTCTCAAAAAAAAAAAAAAAGAAAAGAAAAAGAAAATTCAGCTAAGGCAGAGTCCTGAATATTAAATGTAAACTCCCTGCTTGTCACTCGTTATTCATTAATTTGTTATAATTAACAACAAATACATTTTATTTTTAGTGGACAGAAGTTACGAAGAACTGCAATGGCTACTTAGTATGATTCAGAATGACCCTGTACCCTATGTAAGGTTAGTTTATGTGCTATGATGCTATAATATTTTGTAAGTCCTATAGTGAATTGGATAATTTGAGATTACACATTAAATACTTATTTAAAAATTTTGAAAATATGGGAATATCTTTTGCATTTATTCATGTCCTTTTTAAATTTGATTTTCAAATTTACCTTTGGAAATACATTTTCAAAATACATTGTTTATTAAGTATATTCCCTGTAATTGTATATATTATTTCTATTGTAAGTTAAAGAAACCTATGTAACAGTTTATAATAAACATGAAGGATTCTTTATATACCAAATTATAAAACCTCTGTATTGATTAGTTTCACCATTTTAAAAGTAATTATGAGCAGTGTTTTGGGATATATCCATTTATTCCTTTCTATCACATATAAAGTGTCCATTTTTATTAGACTTGAAATTTTTTAAACAGGTAATATAACATTAATATTTTATGGGCTGGGTACTTTGGCTCATGCCTGTAATTGCAGCACTTTGGAGACCCAGGTGGGAGGATCAGTTGGGGCCAGGAGTTTGAGACCAGCATGGGCAACAAAGCAAGACCTTGTCTCTACAAAAAGTAAAAAAAATAAAATAAAATTAGCTCGTCACTGTAGTGCATGCCTGGAGTCCCAGCTTGAGAGGCTGAGGTGGGAGAATTACTTGAACCCAGAGTTCAAGGCTACAGTGATCTATGATCATGCCACTGCACACTGCACTTCAGCCTGGGCAACAGAGCAAGACTCCATCTTTAAAAAATTTTTTTTTCAGCACTTTGAGAGCCTGAAGCAGGTAGATCACTTGAGGCCAGTAGAGCAGCCTGGCCAACATGGTGAAACCCCATCTCTACTAAAAGTACAAAAATTAACTAAGTGTGGTGGCGGGTGCCTGTAATCTCAGCTACCCAGGAGGCTGAGGCAGGAGAATCACTTGAACCCAGGAAGCAGAGATTGCAGTGAGGTGAGATCACGTCACTGTGCTCCAGCCTGGGCCACAGAGCAAGACTCCGGAGTTTCACCATGTTGGCCAGGCTGGTCTAGAACTCCTGACCTCAAGTTATCCACCCACTTGGGCCTTTCAAAGTGTTTGGATTACAGGCCTGAGCCACTGTACTCGGCCAAAAAAAAAAAAATTATTAGCAGGCCTTACTTGGCATTTAGAGTAATTTGAGTGACTTGGAAAGCAGTCAGACAGAAACTTCACTTTTCTTCATCGAGAAAATTTAGAAGTATAACAACTTAAAATGCTCTAAAGAACAAACTTACTCACATTTTAAAATATATTATTTACCTATATATTATTGGCTCTTACAAATAGAGTATGAGGCTTGAAGGATAGGAATTGTGTTTATATATAAAAATTAAAATATGGATATGAAATATCCATAAAGATTTATATCCCTGTTTATATTACCTATCTGTAAATTGCACTCTATAATTACATTTCACTTGTATTCTCATAACCCTCTGTAGTCTTATTTCACACAGTCTTAAATTTCAAAGCACAAGAGGATGTTAACAGAATCTACATCTTTTAGTTTTATAGGCATTAAATTGCCACCTAAAGGGGTTAAATTATTTACACTACAATCTAGCAGTTTCACTTTTCCCATCTCCTTCTCAATTACAAATCCAATTTGATGTCTTACCACCATCAATTAAATGTAAAAATTTTCCCAATTCACCTTCTTTAAAGTTTTGCTAACTTCCACAAGAATTGCAACTCAATTTCTTTCTTCCTCACTTATATCCAAGCATTGCAGTTACTCTTAGTAATTTCTCAGATTTGGTCCTAGAGCTGGTTTTTATGCTTTCATTAAATGCTAGACTATTGCAGTAAGTTTCTTACTTCTTTCTTTTCTCTAGTATTTTAATGGTGTCTTCCACTCATAGCAGTGGATGTTTTCTTTTCAAATTTTGTTTTCATTTCATTGCCCTATTTTTCAGAAAGCTTTATAATATGTTTAAGTAGCCTCTCATATGAGACGAAAACTCCCAATAGTGGAATTTAAATGTTACCATCTATTAGGATACTTTTCTCAACTTCAGATTGTTTTAAGGAAAACTTTTTACAACCTTTATCTTTAAAATGCTTCTGCACATTTCCATACTTTACAAATATACTATCATAATGACATATATGTTCATTTTATTATCTAAAATATAGACTTTTTGATCTATATGTAGATTCTTTTTGCCCCATGTTTTTAGAAGGCCTCATCACAAAGTAAGGTGATTTTAGAAACACCAAATCCACCAGATTTTGTTTTTTTAAATTACTCTCTTATCCAAACCACCAGAGTGTTTCAGTGAAAAAACAATTAATAAATATTTAGGATATAGCATCATGTCTTTTGAAATTGAATAAACACGAAGCTAGATTTAAGAGAGAAAGTGATAAAATAGGAAGAAAGAACTACAGATAATTTTTCGATGTTTTATCGTGTCTCCTACTCATAGCATCTGTCAGTAAATGGTCAGCAAAAATTTAATGTCTTTTAATCTTTCAGGCATAAAATTCTAAATATGTTGACTAAGAACCCACCATTTACTAAGAACATGGAGTCTCCGTTATGCAATGAAGCCCTGGTTGATCAACTTTGGAAACTTATGAATTCTGGTGAGAGAGCAGTGATTTAAATTTTATTATTATTATTAGAATCTTTTCATTTTACAACAGGTTTTCAATTCAATAGCATTTAAGAGCTAAAGTTAAAAGTTGAGTTTTTTATTTCTTTTAAGTAGACTATCACACCTTCACAGTGATGGCTGTACCTTTATTACGGATGTACTCACTCACTTTACTCCATAGGGTGGTTGAGGAAACAAAAATATTTATTTATATGACAGTGTCAAATGGTTAAGGTGCTATAAACATGAGCCTGCAAAGTATTATTACTATTTCGGAAAGTTACAAAGAGGTGAAAAATAAGTCTTCTCACCCCTTTCCCTGGCCATCTAATGGACTTTTCCAGAGGCAACCAATCTCTTGTGTTCCTTTCCAGAGGAGTCAGTGCATATAGAATAACATACAGACTGTATTTTTCAAAGTACTTATTGTTCTGTACTGTGGAGATCATGATATCTCATCACAGTTTTATTTTATTTATTTATTTATTTATTTTTGAGAGTCTCTGTCGCCCAGCCTGGAGTGCGTTGGTACAATTTTGGCTCATTGCAACCTCTACTTCCCAGGTTCAAGCGATTCTTCTGCCTCACATTCCCGAGTAGCTGCGATTACAGGTGTGCACCACCATGCCTGGCTAATTTTTGTATTTTTAGTAGAGACAGGGTTTCACCATGTTGGCCAGGCCGATCTCAAAATTCTGACCTCAGGTGATCACCCGTCTTGGCCTCCCAAAGTGCTGGGATTATAGGCATGAGCCTCTGTGGCCGGACACATCACAGTTTTAATTTACATTACTTGAGTGAGGTCAAGAGGTAAGAAAACAGTACTTAGGAGTGCTAGTTCTGGAACCATTTTGCTAAGGGTTGAATCTTAGCTCAGTTATTTACGTATTGTGTGATTTGTCTAAGCTGTAATAATACCTACTTTAAATAGAATTGAATAAGTTAGTATTTGTAAAACACAGTGTCTAGCTCATATTAAATACTCCAAAATGCTATACTAGGATAATGATAGTTATCATTATGCTCCTCTTGTATTTGAGCTATCTGTACTTCTTTTTCCAAGTTATTCGTATTGTTCGCTATTTTGTTTAATTGAATTATTGATTGTTTCCTGTTGATTTAAAAATGTGTACATTTAAAGAAAATTTGCCATATGTCTGTGATTGGTTGAAATTGTAATAATGGTTTCTGTTTAAAGATTCAGTCAAAAGCTAGGCTGAAATGTGTTTTGCTTAAAGATAGCAAGAGTTGTTGGAGACAGTGGGAGAGCAGTAGTGCAATGGCACAATCTCGGCTCACTGCAACCTCTGTTCTGGCAATGCTCTTGCCTCAGCCTCCCGAGTAGCTAGGATTACAGGTACCCACTCCACGTCCAGCTAATTTTTGTATTTTTAGTAGAGATGGGTTTTCTCCATGTTGGCCAGGCTGGTCTCGAACTCCTGACCTCTGGTGATGTGCCGCCTTGGACTCCCAAAATGTTGGGATTACAGGCGTGAGCTACCAGGGCCAGCCTATTCATATATTTAAAAGGTTTGAGTATGTCACTTTATTTGCTCTCTATGAATTGGAAAATAACTTGTCCTGCTTATCTCATTAGTAGCTACTTCACTGACTCACAAACACCAAATTCTAATTCTTTTATTATTTAGTTCACTAATATTGAGATGTTAACTGGTTGTATAACTTCTGTTTTTCAGTTTCATGATAGTGCAATACCACCAGTAAAGGCACCATAGTAGATATTTATGTGAAATATAATAAAATTGAAAATAGGATGGCCCTTGTCCTCAAGGTCTTTAGAAAACAGCACATAAAACCAGTTTATGCTAAAATATTGCTAATCTTTTTTCTAATGTTTTCTTTAATCTCTGAAAGAATGATTGCTGCTTTTTACATAATGTTTTATATTTGCTACCTTTGGCTACCTTAAAAGATATTATTTCTGCCATTTAGAACCAGGGAATTAACACATAAGTTCAGGAACTTGTAAAGGATCATTTAACAGTTCATATGTGGCACTAACTCTACTGTATTGAATATATTCTTAACTGGAATACATGATTCCTGGGCCATGATAGGTGACAAATTTGAGGAAAGCACAGTGAAATATGAGGAATTCCTTTATTATTTTCTAAAGAAGATGTTTTAGACAAAATAAACATGTGTTCAAAATTAATGAGACAGTTTTTATAAAACATTTGAAGTCCATTGGAAGTTTTGATTATACAAATTGAAGCTGTGACTGATGTTTAGTATTTAATTTTCATAGTGTGCAGTATAGTACGGGTTTGCTTTGGTTTAAAATTCTTTGCCAATATCTAAATCAGTGAGATCAGTGAAGCTATAGTCATAAAAAATTCATTACTCACTTTTTCAGATTTATAAATAAATGGGAACAGCCTGAACAATGGAGTGGCATGAATAATTGGGAGGGTTAAAAAAAGTGTTTTTGTAGAACATTGTACAATAGACAGGGAAGATGGACTAGAGAGGATTGTCATTTCCCTTCCATACCTGAACCTTTGGGATAAATGAATGAATCTGGTCTGAGAAATCCTTTTTTTGTTTAATTAAAAAAAAATTTAATGGTAAAAGTAATATAATCATGTTACAGAGTTTATCTGAAAAAACTACAAAGAAAGGAAATATTACATAATTCTATTACATCCTCACTATTGCGATTTGGGTATATTTGGCCTATAGGGAAAAAAATTGTGTTTTGTGTTACATAGTTGAAGTAAAAGTTTAAAATAGCATTTTATCATGAGACTTTTTCACATTGCTATATTATCTTCTTAATGGTTACTGTTTTAAGAAGTGGTAATGAGGATTCATCATAACAAAAGGAGCTACATCATCTAGGTCCAGTAATCCGGGGGAACCCTGCCTGCTCCTCACTTTGGGGCTCTTGGGCTATCTGCTCACTTGAGATAAGCATTATCAGGAAAACAGAAACTGTGAATGATGGAGATGAAATTATATTCATTTACTTCTCTCTTTCTGCAAAGTAGATTTGAGGTATGTTGACTTTGCATAGTTACAAAATTTACTGAACCAATTTAAAATATAGGAGAGAATATCATGGTAGTTCAAAAGGATCATAAAATCAACAGGTACTTTTGAAGAATCAGAAACTTTTCAGTAGGAGAAATTGTGTATGGATTTATAGAAACAAGATTTTAAAAATTGAAATCAATTTGAGAGTGAAACAATGATACTCATGACTTTTAAAAATTCGTGTGTCATTCAGTTAATACTAGTACTCATTTTAGAAATATACTAGGGGAATTCGGAGCTGAGAGACAGTTACAGGAACTGAGAACTCTTGGTAGCTACATCACCAGGAGGAAGGTTGTCAGACGTTTTTGTTGAGATTTCAGAGCTGCCTAGTCTCTGTGTGTTTCTTGGTGTGGAATAACTCCACTTAGCCTTAAATTCTGGGAGGTACTCTTTCCAAAATTTTTTTTGCTTTGTAAATATATACACACATTGACCTGTCTATGTGTATATTCACTCATACATGTATCAGATATCTTAACCCATTCTTTATGTAATTTTTCATATACATTTTTATCTTCAGCATTTTGTTTTTAAAATTGTTAAAGCTTAAAAATTTAAAGAATAATATAGTACATAATCATAGACTTTCAGCTTGATTCATCAGTTAAAATTTTACCATTTACTTTATCTCCTTTTCCTTTTCATCTTATATTTATACCCTGTTTTTTTCTGAATCATTTGAAAATAAATGGCATCATGATCCTCTTTCCAAATACTTCAGTGTACACTCCTGAGAATAAGGTCATTCTACGTATCCACAATATGATCATCACACTGCACCCAGCATATAGCCCATATTCACAGTTCCCCAGTTGTTTCCAGAAATGCTCTTTGCAGTTCCCATACAGCTTTTAAATTAATGCTGCACAGAAAGATAGTAAACATTTTTAAAGACAAGGATCTTTTACATTATATGATGTTTGTCCATGGTTGCTTAAGATTCTTAAATAGGTTTGTTTTTTTATTGAAAATATCTAATTTGCCAGGGGCAGTCGTTTTTAAAGGTTTCACATATTCATTCACTAGTTTTTTTCTTGAGCACTTTCCATTTGCCACTATGCTACGTTTTCTGTGTGTTAACTAAGTATAATGGAAAGAGAGACATAGGTACAGATAAATTATAATATGAAGAGATAGTTGCTAATGTAAAGAGAACAAACTATTTGGCGAACCCAAAGGAAGGAGCCATGAACCCTGTCTGGAATGCTTGAATGTTCATGGAGAGATAGCATTTGAGCTAGCTCTTGATGAATGGAAAGGAGTTTTCCAGCAGAATAAATTTTTAGGTAGTAGAATTATATATAAAAACCTCATGTTCTGAAGGAATATTTAGAAAATAGTGTTATCTGGAAAGATAGATTAGGATCTAAATGCAGAGGGCCTCGGGATTTGGGGCTTTATGCTTTGGTCAATGAGGAACAGGTGTTGATAGAACCAGGCTTACTTCGGTTAGCTGTGTGGGGGAGTAGCTTTTTTCCACGCCAAGGAAAATGATTTTCCTTTTCCAAAGGAATATGTATCAGAATTCGGAACATACTTTTATAGATTTAAGTAAGATACAGAATTATAGGCCAAAACAACAGTAATTTTAAAATACATTAAAAAAATAAAAACCTAAGAATTGGAGATTTTTATTGGTGCCTTATATTTTATTTAAGACATAAATACTTAACGGTGGTCTTGCCTAATTGAGTGATTTTTTTTATTTCTGAAGAAGCAGATCTTCATTGAGAATGGTATCTGACTGTATATCATCATAAAGGAAATTTTAGCTGTTGCTTCCACATTGACCTTTAATTTATGGAACATTATTGAAAGAATGACATAAAAACACTAATTGTTCAAGTCATTGAATGCTGTTTATTCACATCATAATTTTTAGTGTTTGGAAATTTACAACTACACTCAAGGGGGTAGAATGAGGGACAATTTCTAATTCGGTTTGATAGGATTTGCCAGGTTTCAGAAAAGAAAATAAACAGTTTTGATATTAACATGAGAAGGTTTCAAAGTTCTGCTTCACCATCTCTCTCTCTCTGATACCTTCCTTCTTAGGAATGGAAATGGTGGAGGAAAATGAAAACATATTGATTCATTTGCACATGAAATTATATATGTATACACACACACACACACACACACATAAATAGAAATGAATTTGCTGTTTTTATTTACTGTACAATGCACAGAACAGTCAGGACAATAATACCCAGTGGAAGTTGTATTTCTGGCTTAACTGTGTACAGATTTCTAAGCTTCAGCCGTCAATAAGGAGTGCCGGGTTTATTCAGAAGTGTCCTGAAAACGGTGGCTTTCAGAGTGAATTTTCTTAGCAGCTTTTTTAGTTGATCAGTTTTAAGAGCAGTTACTTTAGAAAATGAAGAGATGATTTTTCAGTGGATCAGATTTACTACTTTGGTGGTGCTTGTCTCAGGGCACTTTCTGATTTGAAAAAGATCGTTAATATTGGGGTGGTAGTATTCTGATTCAGATAAATGGGGTTGGTCCCAGAGTATAACTGCTAATGAAGACAGGATGAATAGCACTTTTCCTGGGAGGAGAGACTAGTGACTGTCATTTTGTCATACATGATCATTCATTGCCATAAGTGATGGGGAGAGGGGAGGTAGCTGGAAGATTAAAGAAGAGTCTTCAAAACATTGTAACTGAAGGCAGAAATCAGAGGCTGTTTCAGGCCCTCTCTTTCTAATGGAACTGATTGACTTGGAATCATCGAATTTTAGACCTGGTAAGGGGGATCTTAAAGATCATCTCAGTGAATTACTCTGATCATCTTAGTAACAGCCCAGGTGGCTGACTTGCCCAAGGTCACAGAGCTAACAGGCAATTAATTAGAAGTGGTTTTTTTCCCCATTCTATCTCTCATCTTAATTGAAATATACTAATGGGACAACTGTCTTAAGATTTCATTCCGTGATTTTGAAATACAATGAAATTTTGGCTTTTATCCTCTATTTCTTGCTCTCTTTTGTAATTTTAACAAAATTCTGCTATTCATATTTTAGCTCCTCCGTAGTCCCCAATTTTAATATGTAAGTTCACTTTTAGAGGACAGAAAACACTATCAAGAATCTCCCTCAGGAGCAAAAAAAGTGATGTTCATATGTTTGTCCAAATTAAAGGTCTAGCAAAACCAAAAAGCCCACACAGAAATAAAAAGTAACCTAAATTACATTTGAGGGCTTCAAGTGCACTTAGCAGCCTTTACTGTGTTGCCTAATCATCCTCGAGCTGACTTTCAAAAACAAAATAAAAGCCGTGGCTCATCAAAATACACATATTCGATTTGTCTTTTAAAATTAATATTTGTATTTTTTAAATGTTTAGGAATTCACAGTTGAATGACTCATTTTGAGATCATCTACAGCATATGAAAGTTCAGGCTGGTTTTTGCAGGCAGTATTGATCTTCACGGTTTAATTTTCTCCCAAACAGTAAATGTACTCTAAACTGTTCTGGTTTTGTTGTTGTTGTTGTTGTTAACTAATAAAATGCCTAAGATTCACTCCTCCTCTTGCTATACCCATGGATAGATAGATACAGGGCCAGCTGCTCTGGGTTGCCAGAATCTTTATTGCTCAAGAGTAGAGACCCTCTAGCCTTTGCTAATAGAAGCCCCAGGAATCTGATAACCTCCTCTTTGTGGAACTTTTATATATGTAAAATGCTTTGAGGAAGAGAAATGAATGCCTACAAAATAATACTACCTCAAGCTATTGAAGTGTCCACATGTGCATATTCCAGGAAGGGAAGATGCATTTCCAGTGTAAAATTCTTGCTTTTACTATGTAATGTTTTCTTCCATTACTTGTTTCTCTGTAGCTCTTGCCTCTCCCAGTGTTGTATGTTACACAGCAACAAAACTGAAAATGTCTCAAGTAGGACTGATGAGAGCTATTTCACAACAATATAGCATGCAAAGTGGCCTAGTACAGTGCCTATCTAGTATCAAAGTGAATTTACAGTTTTTTCATTGCAGATTTGCATATAATTAATAGATACCTATTAGAGTAAATCTGATGAGAATTACTATTAGTTGATAATGTATTTACTTATACTAATATTTGTTGTCAAAAACCACAAAGTTTAATATTTATGATACCCAAATTTTTTTCCTTTTTGTTTCACCTTTTTAAATATGATACTCTTTTAAAACTACAGCTCTTGGTAAAAATTAGGTATTTATAGGGCCTTCCTTCCTCCTGCCCTTTCTTTCTTTATTTTTTGAGACAGAGTCTCACTCTGTTGCCCAGGTTTGAGTGCAGTGGCACAGTCTTGGCTCACTGCAGCCTCCACCCCCTGGGTTCAAGCGATTCTCCTACCTCAGCCACCCAAGTAGCTAGGATTACAGTCTTGTGCCACCACATCCAGCCAATTTTTGTATTTTTAGTAGAGACAGGGCTTTGCCATGTTGCCCAGGTTGGTCTTGAACTTCAGAGCTCAAGCAATCTGCCCACCTTGGCATTCCACAATGCTGGGATTATAGGCACGAGCCACCGTGCCGAGCTGGGTTTATTTTTCTTATCAAGAAGAATGTCCACATTTCTTCTGTTCACTTGTTTTATATCTTCAAGTCATTTAAAATTCTGATCACAGAGATTGTGTAACCCTAGCTGACAAATTTCATCTTTTCAGTCAATTTCATTTGATGGTAATGTCTAGGGGAGTGCCCTACTGGGGAGAAAAGGAAGGGATAAGAACCCTGATATCAATCTGCTGTGATCTGTCATTGCAATGGGGTAAGATATGACTTGAGACAAAAACTCCTATTTTGGAGATGAAAAAACAGACTCAGAGAAATGGAGAGAACTTGCTTCTACTGTCTCAACTAGTTGAAACTGAACTTTCTCCCAGGCAGTTATTTTCCGGTCAAGTTCACATCTACTGCCCATTGCCATGCTTGTAATTTGCTTATTTCCGTTATTTTAAAATCATAAATAAGTTCTTAATAGAGTAACACAAATATAAAGGTGTTTAGCAAAATATTTTCCTCCTCTACAATAAGTCCAATAGAAGTTGTATAGTTTCGTATTATATTTCAAACCTGCAAAGTAGCAAGTTCTAGAGATCAGAAAATTTGTTTCCGTGATAGGGTATGCAAAGGCTCATGGAGGCTGTCTTCCTAACAGGCTGTTAATGAAGAGAATCAGACAAGATGAAGAGAGGATGAATGAATGTGGAATAATTACTGAGGAGAAAGAATAAAAAGGAAGATTTAAGGTTTAAAAAAATGCAATTTTTGGAATGTTAGACTTTTCATTACTGTCTGGTATTCACTTTGTAAGATGAAAGCTGTCATAAAGGTTTTTCCAGTTATAAAGTTCTCTTTGTTGCATAGGTTCTGGGACAGTTAAAATGTATGAATCAATGTGCATATTGACTTATTTCTGTATTGTTTACCTTAAGGTACTTCACATGACTGGAGGTTACGGTGCGGTGCTGTGGACTTGTACTTCACGCTTTTTGGCCTCAGTAGACCTTCCTGTTTACCCTTGCCAGAGCTTGGGTTGGTTCTTAATCTAAAGGAGAAAAAAGCCGTCTTGAATCCTACCATAATTCCAGAGGCAGTAGCAGGCAACCAGGAAGCTGCAAATAATCCAAGCAGTCACCCACAGCTAGTTGGATTTCAGAACCCTGTAAGAATCACATGTATTACAGAAGATATAGTTTCATTAATACAGAGCCATCTAGAGAAGAGAAATTGTTTCCTGTGAACTACTGTAGTGAATTTTATAGCCACTAACAGTTTCTTTTGTCCTTTTAAAACGTGCTGGTTGACATTTGTTTAGCACTGTGCAAATTATAAAATGCTACTAACAGCTATATAATTTTATATAACAAATGATGTGCTCCTGGTTTTTTTATTCCTTCTGTGATAACCTAATGATTTTTTTGTACTTGAGTATAGAATTTCTTCTGTGAGTAGCAAAAGATAGAAATGAATATTTTATCTTTGTTTTTCTTGAGACAGAGTTCTGCTCTTGTTGCCCAGGCTGGAATGCAGTGGCACAATCTCAGCTCACTGCAACCTCTGCCTCCCAGGTTCAAGCGATTCTCTTGCCTCAGCCTCCTGAGTAGCTGGGATTATAATTGTCTGCCATCACACCTGGCTAATTTTTTGTATTTATGGTAGAGATGGGGATTCACCATGTTGGCCAGGCTGGTCTCAATCACCTGACCTCAAGTGATCCACGCACCTCAACCTCCCAAAGTGCTAGGATTACAGGCATGAGCCACCGTGCCTAGCTGAATATTTAACCTATTACATAGTAACCCATCTTGTCCCATATGTGTTAATGGCAAGCCATGCGAACACAGAGGCCTTGTCTTTTTAAAACTGTTGCTCTGTGTAATACCTAGCACAGTTCTAAACATATGATAAATGCCTGACAAATGCTTGTTGAATGAAATAAATAACTGAATGGATGAATGAATGATCAGGTAAATGAATAATCTGCTGATTTGGGAGGAGACTGTGTTACCTTTAAAAACGTTATGTATCTACATATATGTTTGCTTGCCTTTAGAGAAGCTTTTATTTCTACCTTTGTATTGTAAAATTACCAGACATTTTGTAGAAAGACTTACGGGATACATGTTAATCATTTTACTGTAATTTAAGGAAATTTTTTCTGAAATTTTTTTTATTGATGACAAAATGTCTCCAGTACTTCAAGCTTCATTTTTCACCAATATTTAGACCAGATTACTTGCCTGGCAATTCCCTACTGGTGTTTTGACACTTTAAAATGCAGATTCCCTCTATGCTAGTTAGTAATAGTTCATTTTAAAATTGTTTACTCACCTAAATTTTCTGAAGTATCATCATACTTATTTGTTGTCAATTTAAAGTATGTCCTTGAGTTTGGGTTATGAAGAAGTAAGACGAATACTTACATAGAATAAAAAGAGTCTCATTAAAGAGCCCTTTCAGAGCTACATATTTATAAATCTGTGAAAATGAATATATTTATAATTCTTGCTCACATATGTTAATTTATCCACATTCACACTGCAGGCTAAGAGGAGAAAATGGCACCAAAGAGCATTTGCTTTTAAAACTCCAAAAGTTCACTTAAATACCTCCCTTCTCCCTCCAAAAAGACCAGCAGACAAGAAAAGGTTAAATTTATTTTAAGCCCATTGCTAATAATTTCTAGCCACTGGGCATGCTCTAATCTGCATGGTTGCTTTAGCTATTAGTTTTCAGCTATAATATGAGCTACTCTTCTTCAGAAACCTAATTTTGATCTTGAATATTGCCGCAGGAAGATGATCACCTTGCCAAGGAAGCATCATGTAATATATCAGCTCATCAGCAGGGAGTGAAGAGGAAGTCTGATACACCACTGGGGTCCCCACTAGAACCTGGTCAAATACTGGAGAAGAATGAGGATAGCAGTAAAGTCAAACTCAAAATCAGAGTAAGAAATACAGGTTAAACCTGTATTAACAGTGTAGGATATTCACCTTCTTGTAAATCTTTTTGAATACTTGCAGTGGTTTTTCCTTAGTAGGAACACATGGGACAGACTGCATTATAAAACTCAAGTGTCCTTCTGAGACATTCAAACCAATTATTTAACTTATATTATCACATAATTCTTCTCTGTTTGGGGGAGGAACTATGTGTGCACGTTCCACCGCAATTCACTACTTTTTCCCCACAAAATAGGAGTAGATTTTAGTTACTATTACATTTCCAGTAATTTCTAATCAGCTTCTTTTAGAGGCTGGACCACATAATCTTTTCTTTCTCTTAATATCTTTGAAGAAAGAAACTACTTTTTATTTTAAGATTATATGGGGTTACATCCTATGGCCCCTCTGCTGCTTTTCCTAAGAGCTAAGATCCAAACATAACATGATGTAATGGTTCTTTTATTCCTCTGTTTTATGTGTATGTGTGTTTTAGTTTTCAAATTCTCAAGATGAGGAGGAGATTGATATGGATACCGTTCATGATAGCCAGGCCTTCATTTCCCATCATTTGAACATGCTTGAAAGGCCGTCAACTCCAGGTAAGATTAGTGTTCTGCAAAGATTGAGGAGATGGAGGCTTTTATTGTTCCCAGTATTCTAATGTGTGCTGCTTTATTTTCAAATGAACAACTATAAAGTTTAAAATTAGCCAACTTAAGACATTAAATTGTATCAGGTTATAACATAAATTGGCAAAATAATAACTAGAAAAAGTACTTTCTTTTGGCTGTTTTATTTTGGTCCTTTTTAAATATCACATTTCTGAATTTGCTTATGTAAAATCCATCATTCAGATTCTTTCTAGTAGCTCTAATTTCTTTTTTGATCCTGTATGTTTACTTGCACTTATATTTTAAATGTGGTAGACTTGACTTCAGAATAAAGTTCTGGATTTGGTTTCTTTTTAATCATGCAAACATAGTTACATTAATTTTTTTAACTACAGTTAATGCTGCCTGCAGCACCACTTTATCTTTTTTGCCTGCCTATTCCATTTAATATTGTCATAGGCTTTTTCATAGGTCATTCAAAACACATCATGTTTTCTTTTGAAAATACTACCTAAGACAACATAGAGTCAATATATTAAAATTTACCTTGTCATTTTCTTGTTGATAAGCGTTAGGTTGTTTTTCATTTATATATATTGTAAGTAATTCTGTACTTTATTTCTTTGTTAAATTATGTTTCTTGGATAAATTTCCCAAAATGTATTATTGGAAAAAAGATTAATGTTAGCCATGTTGCGAGATACTTGTCTTTAGATTTTCATAGCTCTTAATACATATTGCCATGTTTTTTGAAGAGATTATACCCGTTTATATTATAAGCTTTTTCTAATTTTTAAGGAGTAAAGCCTTTGATGAAAGTTACGACATACAGTAATAAAACAAACATCCGTGAACCTGCCACCCAAATTCACATGTACATTATGCATCATGCACGGATGTTTCCTATATGCTTCTTCCCTGGCCCTGTTCTCCTGCCTTTCCACTACAAGTAACTACTATATTGCATTTTCTTTTTTTTTTTTCCTTGATTTCATTCTGTTGCTTTTCTTTATAGTGTTCCACGTAGGTATGTGATCCTCTATATGTTTAGTTGTACTTTTTTTTTTTTTTTTGAAGTTTTTAAGAAATGGTATAACATGACTTGTTTTTCACTCAGCATTATGTTTCTAAAATTCTTACTGATATATAAGTTTTAATTCATTAATTTTCCTTTATGATCATTATCTGTCATAGCAGTTATCGTCAGTGATTCAGAACTTTTAGAG